CACCACACCACACCACACCACACCACACCACACCACACCAGATCATACCACACTACACTTAATAATTGATGTCACTATCACTACTATAATGATCCACTTGCCGCTCACAGAACAGAGCGGCTGGAAAGGATTTCACGTGCGTCCTAATCTGCTCTATTACTTTGCCTTTTTTTGCGATATTAAACATGATTAGCGTCTATGGTATGTTACGCACTTCAAAGTTATTAGCAGAGGGCGCAAGTTCGATTCCCGTGTGAGTAACCAATTGCATCTAATGTCTCCGTCTGATATGATGTGGAATCCCAATCAGCCTGGGTTAACCTTGACAAGCCGAGTCGAAACATACCGTCTCCTAAAATATCTTAATTATGACTATGGGGTCTTAAAACATTCACAATTTGTCAAAACAGACTCCCAGTGTTCGTCCCAATAACTAAAAAAAAAAATCAGATCTTTTTATGTTCTTTCATAGCTCCAACAACGTCTACGTCTATGGGGAGGATGACGTCAACAACGACAGCTCAGTCCCAGGTGTCTCCCCCGCACCCACAGCGCCACCTAGTGAGTTCTGATAGACTTGTCGCTTCCCTAGAATTACACAAGTTCTGTTTTTAATCTGCTCAGTAACTAGTCTGGAGAAGTTCGACGTTTGAAAAAAAAATTGGAGTTTAACATCTATGTCAAGCTGTTTCGAATGCAATTCTTTTGATATCTTGACACCTGTTTTGAATAATCTTACGGTTTTGGTCTAGCAGATAGAATCTATGCATTTGTGAAGGTTCATCACTTTGGCCGCATAAAACTTCGGGACCGCTTAACTTTCGAAATTGACAAAAATTAACGGTGGTTCAGAATCATTTAAGGGGTGCACAGTTTTACTGAGGAATCTGAAGTCACTGTAGTTTAATTTTCAGTTTTGCATTAGTTTCGTTTAGTTCTAATCTTTGGAAAAGTCCGTCTTCTAAGACGCCATTGTAAACAAGTGAGGCTTCCGTTCACAAAGAGTGCGTGCACTGATCCCACAATGACTTGACGATCGATTCTTTTGGGTACGATGATCAAACCGGAAACCCAGCTTGTAATAAATACTTGGTTTCTGGCCTCATGGTCTTAATAACTCAAAACGGCCCAAAATGTCAAATAGAACTTTGTAACTCTAAGGTAGCCTAGCATATTAGCTACACTAGAATTACAAAGCTCTATTTGCTCAGTACCTAGTGTTGAGAAACTCAAGTTTAAAAAAAATTCAAGTTTCACATCAATGTCAAGATTTTTCGAATGCAATTCTCCGAATAATATCTTGATAACGGCTCTGAATAATCTTACGATTTTGGTAGAGCAGGTAGGGTAATAAATATTTGTTTTCTGACTTCATGGTCTCAGTCAGTCAAAACGGTCAAAAATGTCAGACAGAACTTTGTAATTCTAAGGTAACGTAGCAGCTACACTAGAATTACAAAGATCTATTAGCTCAGAACCCAGACAAATATTTAGAAACTTGAAGTAAAAACTTGGAATTTCACAACAACGTCAACCTTTTTCGAATGCAGTGATTTGAATAATAATATATGTATCGTGATAACGACTCCAAATAATGTTACAATTTTGTTAGAGCAGATAGAGTATTTGGATTATGGCTTCATTGCTTTAGTAACTCAAAACGTCCATAAATGTCAGATAAAGCTTTGTAATTCTAAGGTGGTGTACAGTATTATAATATCCTTAACTGGGCCCACATGACGTAATTCCAGTTCACGATGGGGTGCATTAATTGACTCTTTTTGGAACCAAAGGAAAGAGGACAAGGAGTGAAAAGTTGCTCACCTATTCGGCGATAACGAGACTGGCGTTTGTCCTTCATTTGCGCGTCCGTAGTGCGCACGAGCGCAGTCGACGGATTATTTGTTTGTTTGTTTGTTTGTTTGTTTGTTTGTTTGTTTTTGTTTATATAGAGCGCCCGCGGGATTAGGTTTACCCATGCCGGTCTAAGGAAGGCAGTTTGGTGTCAAAGTCCTGACACTGACTTGAAAAAAAGAAACGACATATTATAACTTTAACAGATTCTCGTCAATTAGACCATTCTAGTCTATTATTTCGACCTGTGTGTGTGCCTGTGTGTGTGTGTGTGTTTGTGTGTGTGTGTGTGTGTG